ATTAATAAAAATTAAAAAATTAAAAAAAAATAGGTAGCTCATCCGGGTCCACAAAGACATAGTTGTGTCCTACTGGGCCTAAGAACAGACTATGGATAGCACTCAGAGGGTTCATCAGACACTTCTGAAGCCAGATCTGAGTGTCCTTAATGGGTGCTAGGGACACCCCAGCCTGTGCCCAGAGTTTGGGGTCCTTCATGGAGGGCCCCAAGTGCTGCCCCCACGGATTCGGAGGCTGGCAGAGACCCAATTCCTCTTCAGTAGGTCCCCCCTCAGTGGGAAACACCCCTGACAGGAAAGTTAGGGGACCCCGCACAATTTGGTACTGGTCCTCTGCACCTCCTAATCATCCTGGCCCCAAGGTCAAGCTCTGCATTATCCAGTCTCACCTTAAATGTGGCATTTTCTGTCTTGGGATCCCCCACACACAGCTGAGTGTCAGGTTTGTAGCACTGTTTAAATGTAGATTCACACTTCTCATCTGCCTGCACCTCCAGCTCCACCTCCTGCAGCTTCTCAGCAAATCTTCCCTTCGGCCACATCCTCCCCCAGCCAGCTGCACTGCACATCTTGCCTGGCCTCGGCTTGTTCCTGGATTGAGGAAGTTTGAGGGGCTTCACGTCCTTAGTGATTTTGGCATTACTCTTGAGCTGTGGTGATATAGAGAGGGTCCTGTTCAGTCCATGCCCCTAACCTGGGCACCCATATGGGGTGTCGTGTCTTCCTTTCCCACAGAGGCCTGGGGACAGTTCAGGAACCAGAATGGGGGCAGAGAAGAAGAAGGGAATGAACCCTAGTGAGTAGAGCATCTGCTTCCTCACCTTCAGCAACATGATGTCGTTAGAGTAGTATTTTTTATTGTAGTTGGGGTGAAGGATGGCTTTGTCTACGGGGATCACCTGCTGACTCTCCTCCTTCTGTAGGATGTTGTGGGCACCCAGGGTCACATTGATCATGCTGCAGAGAAAACCCAGAGGGAGGTGGAAACTCAGAGTAAGAACCCAGATGCCCTCAAGGGCAGGTGGCAAAAGGTGTGTAGGTAAGGGCAGCTCTAGGGACTCTGACAGGCTGGAAATAAACTGAGTCTTATGCTTCTCACAGCTGAGGGAGTTTTCTGGAGCTAAAGGTCCCTGCTCCATGGTTCCCAGTGGGGAGTGCCCCAGGAAGGGAGGTGAAGTGGCATCGTGTGTCTGTGGGTGGTAATGTGCAGACACCTTTTAGGCAGAGGAGGATTCCCACAGCTTTTGAACCAGCCCATCCCTCTCCCCAGGAACCTGCCCTCCTCCCCCATGAGGACTCTCCTGGCTCAATTATTTTGGGCTTGGGAGTGTCTGAAGAGATGAAGGGGTCCCCAGTCATGGTCTCCTGGGGAGTGCGTTGTGGCTGTGTCTCTCCTCACCTGCCATTACAGTGAGCGGCCGTCATCACCACGTTCTTTCGGATCAAGAAACCACCACATCGGGCTCGTTTATAAGATTCTTCATGAAAATACTGCAGATATGCCATGTAGGGTCGGGAGTGGGGCTTGGCCTCGTGTCCCCCGATGATCTCCCCTGAGGAATGTCAGCTGTGAGCGTGCAAACCTCAGTGCCTCTGTTGTCTTCACTGAAGACTCAGGGCTGCTGTGTGACCTGCTGTTGGTAGGCTCTCGGGGCTGGGTGGGGAAAACTCATGTTCCCGTCCCCCCAAGGGAAGAGCAGCAGCTCAGCCTGTGAATCCATTTCCACACCAACTGACAGGCACTCTATCTGCCGCAGGGACCGGGAGCTCCTGAACAACTGTTCCCCTGAGTACTCCCCACAGTCTCTGTTTCTGTGATGTTCAAATAGAAACCTCTTTCTAGTCAGAGAGTAAGAAAAGGGTTCAGGTGAGGTCAGCGCATTAACCAGGAATCAGGCTCAGAGTGTGGGAGGGTCACTCACCTGCCTCAGTTCTGGGAGACAGTGCGGTGCTCAGCAGGACAAAGAGCAGGAGCATTGTCCCAAGAAGGCTCTGTAGTGGCAGCTGCGGTGGCTCCTCTGTGATCTTTGTTGACTGTGAGAAGAAGAAGGGCATCAGCAGACCTCTGGGGTCCCAGTTTCTTTTTGGTTTGGTGTGTGTCATGCTAGAATAGTGTGTACAAAATGCTCCTCTCTCATCCTGTGCCTCTGCTGATGACGTTTTCTGGTTGCTGGTTGAGAATCACGTGGTCACTATACTTGTGGTTACAGTTGAAATCTAGGGTTAAGCCTGTTCTCCCTGGCAGCTCGGTGGCCGCCATCTTTCAGAGGCCAACGGACTGTGAGGTAGGGGCCCACAGTGACGAGACACGCGTGGCCTCACAGGATGGAGGTGTAGCCGGCTTTTCTTCCCCCGCCCCAAGGAGACCCCACAGAGTTGCTGCCCACGAACAACCCGTCTGGCTATTGATCAAGCTGCTTAACAACCATGATTCCAGAGACTCAGAAACAAATCTCGGAACCCAGTGGCTTTGGGCAGAAATCCCTCCAGATTTAATGATTAAAATTTCAGAATTCCAGAATCTGGCCTTTCAATATCATATGGAGTGATAGCACAGCGGTAGGGTGTTTGCATTGTGTGCAGCCACCCGGCTGAGCCGGGTTCGATTCCTTCACCTCTCTCAGAGAGTCTGGCAAGCTACCGAGAGTATCTCGCCCGCAAGGCAAAGCCTGGCAAGCTACCCGTGACGTATTCAATATGCCACACACAGTAACAACAAATGTCATGATGGAGATTAAGCATGTTAAGCATGGTTGTTACTGGGCCCAACGGGAGGACCGTGACTGCTATTCATCATCAGCAATAGAAAACAAATTGTCTAATGTTGCATTTTTGGCAGATCTGAGTGTTGGGGTAAAATCCCAAATAATAATGGTAGGTCTGGCGTTGAAATATTTAATGTAATCAAAGTGGAACGGGAGTAATGTGGAAATCATCTGCCACACAGGTAGGGGGAGAGTATGGGATGGGGTGTATACTGGGGTTTTTGGTGGTGGAAAATGTACACTGGTGAAGGGATGGGTGTTTCATCATTGTGTGACCGAGACTTAAACCCAAAACCTTTGTAGCTGCTCTCACGGTGATTCAATAAATAAATTTATGAAAAAAAAAGAAGAAATCTAGGGTTAACCATTTATTCCAAGCCCAGAACAGAAACCGAGCTAAGTGTGAGGAGGGACTGTGTCATGCATAATTGTCTAGTGAAACCCCAGAACAGAGTCTTCACTCTTTCATGTTCTTGCTGTTAAGTATATCAGGCAGTGTATTTTTTTTTTTAAATTTTATTGAATCACCGTGAGATAGTTACAAGCTTTCATGTTTGGGTTGCAATCACACAGTGATCAAACACCCATCCCTCCACCAGTGCACATTACCCATTACCAATATCCCCGGTATACTACCCCCTTCCCACCCTCTCTCTGCCTCCATGGAAGACATGATTTCCCATAATCTCTCTCTACTTTTGGGCATAATGATTTGCAGTACAGACCCTGAGAGGTTATCATGTTTGGTCCTTTATCTACTTTCCAGGCAGTGTCTTTGGCAGATGTGTTTAGGCTCTTCCCTGTGCTAAGATCAAACACACTGAATACATTATTCTTCCCTTTGAAAGCTGGTGGAGGAGGCAGGAGCCTCAGTGACCAGAGTGCAGAATGGAAGTGCCATGGGAAGGATGCAGCCCTATGAGAGAAAGTGGCCCCAGGGACTCAACCTGGACAGCAACTCAAACATTATTGTGACCCCTTTCTCACAAATTCTAAGAATTGTATTAAAGTGCTATATTAAAGTAAATGTGTTAGATTCCTTGGATGCAACCACGAGAAACAAACATCCCCCATCCAAACACCCCCATCACTTCTCATTAAGAAATAGATGTACAGTTGATGCTAGTAATATCCCCAGGTTTGACCAATTGAATTTTACCTGCTCACATGCCAAAGCACCATTCAGCAAAGCAATACCATGAACCAAATGCACACTAGTTACAATGTGTAGCTGTCTGACCATGTGACTTAATCCAAGGATACATTTTGGAAAATTTTATAAACACTCTATCCCCATCAAAATTTCAATACTTGACATTTATTGGAAAATTAGTAAACCACTCTGGACCTAAAGTTGCATCTCTCTCTTCAGCTCTTTTGTTGGTTGAGTTTGGAACCATCCAATCCACAGGGTTGGATGGTGTCTCCTGAAGGAATTTCTGTTTTTTTTTTTTAATTTCTGTTTTCTAAACTCCTGACCCTTGTGAGGTAAGGAACTATGAGCGCCACCACCAAGCGTTGTTCTTTTATCCTCTATACTTTGTCCACTATGCCTGACTGATTAATGCTGATGAGTCAAGTTTCAAGCTTTAGACTCACAGTACTTTACATTATTTCTCTGAGGAAAATAAAGTGTCACTCTACATTATTCTAGTACAAATGTCTTTATCAGATGCAATTTTCTTATGAACTATGTACCTTTGTGACTTGCTCAGTGAGTAGGGTTTGCAGCTGGTTGGGGAGTGCAAAACCCCTGTCCCTTCTATAGCACTGGGGCACAGAGCATCTGTGCTGGTGCTGGATGGAGATGGAGACTCCTGAGTCCAGCCCCACTGCAGAGAGGGTCCTTCCACCTCAGAGACTGAGCCTGAGGGGCCAGCAGGAGGCTAAGCCTAGAGAGGAGTTTTATCCAGAGGGACAGACAGAGGGGTCAGGAGTGACAGGCCCCAGGGAACCTGAGCAGCTTCTTTTGTTGCAAACAACAGAGGATGCTGAGGCCTCCTGAGCCTCAGGGTAGAGTCCATGCTTCCTCCTTGTGGGCCAGTCTGTCCTGGCAGAGGGACAGAGGGGACAGAGATGGGTAGGCAGGGACTGTGAGACCCTTCTGGTTTCCTAACAACGAAGCTATGTCTGTGAATGAGGGTCACTCATGAGCCACAGTTTCACATTGCTAAAGACATTTATTGAGTGGAAGCCCCACCCCGAGTGATGCTGGAGTGCAGAGGAGGCATCAGAAGCTGCGGTTATATCTTTCTCAGGGTGTTCTTTATCCAGGGCATGAAACTGGAGATTCTGGTGTAGACCCGGGGTGAAGATCCATCGTTCTTTCCATAGTGAACGATGCCCTGGGCCACGTCCTTGCACACGAGGGGACCCCCGGAGTCTCCCTGTGGGTTGAGAAAGGACTGAGCTTGTTTGCTGCTGCTCCAGGCCCCTTTCAGTGGAGGGAGCCTTGTGAACCCCAGGTGGGCAGAGGCAGGGCATGCTGGAGCCCAGCCAACCTGGGGATGACCCTGAACATTTCGAGGTTCCTCATCCCCAGGGACATGGCACATGTCTCGTTGGACCTGGGAGCCGGCTGTGGGTAACACTCAGGAGATCCAGCAGAAAGTAGTGGAGCCAGTTTTCAGTGTCCTTAATATGCGATTAGGGACACCCCAGGCTGTGCCACAGTGTGGGAGTCTCCCTGGTAGACCCTATGTTCTGGGCCCTTGAATTTGGACACCCAGCCCCTCTCCAGTAGGTTTCCCCTCAGTGGGAAACACCCCTGACTGGAAAGTTAGGGGTCCCCAATACCTGATACTCGTCCTCTGCTTCTTTGCCAACAACCTGCCTCCAGGTTCAAGCTCGAACTATCCATTCTCACCTTAAATGTAGCCTTTCTTGTCTTGGGATCCCCCGCACACAGCTGAGTTTTAGGATTGTAATGTATAAACCGGGATTCACACTCCTCATCTGCCTGCAGCTTCAGTTCCACTTCCTGGAGACTGTCAGGAAAAGTTTCGCTGAGCGCCACCTGACCCCAACCGGCTGCACTGCACACTTGGCCTGGCCACAGCTTGTTCCTGGACCCAGGAAGTTTGAGGAGCTTCACGTACTTATTCATCTTGGCGTTATGCTTCAGCTGTGGGGAGTCGAGAGAGGGTCCTGCTCAGCCTGTGCCCACTGGCCTGACACCCGCCCGGGGTTGTGCTGTTTCCTTTCCTACCGAGCCCTGGGGACAGGTCTGGAGCTGGAACGGAGCAGGGAGGAAGCAGGTCTAAGGGGACCCAGGTGAGCAGAGCCTCTGTTTCCTTACCTTCAGCAACATGATGTCATTAGAGAAGGTTTTGGCATTGTATTTCGGGTGGGGGATGGCTTTGCTCACAGGGATATCCTGCTGACTCCTCTCTTTCTGCTTCACATTGTGGGCGCCCAGAGTCACATTGATCGTGCTGTGGAGAGAACCCAGAGGGAGGCGGAATCTCAGGGAAGAGCCCAGCTTCCCTGAAGTGGGCAGGTGCTGGGTGGGGTGCAAGTCAGGGTAGTTCCAAGGACTTGATAGACTGGGAGTGAATAGGGATCTGTGCTTCTCACAACGAAGGGCTTTTTCTGGAGCTAAAATTTCTTTCCCATGGTTCCCAATGGTGTGTGTCCCAAGGACGAAGGGTGAGATGGCATTGTTTGTGGGTAGTAACGCGCGAACACCTTGTAGGCAGAGGAGAATTCCAACAGCCTTCGCATCAACCTATCCCTGTCCCCAGGAACTTGCCCGCCTCTCCTCATAGGACTTCCTGGCTCACTGTCTTTAGAGCTGGGGACTGTCTGGGCAGAAGCAGGTCTCCCCACCCAGGGCTCCCAGGGGCGTGTGGCTGTGGCTGTATCTCTCCTCACCTGCCATGACAGTGAGCGGCCGTCAGCACCACGTCCTCTCGGATCAGGAATCCACCACAATGTTGTGGTGGATAAGATTTCTCATAAATGTACTCCAGATAGGCCATGTAGGGTCGGGAGTGGGGCTTGGCCTCGTGTCCCCCGATGATCTCCCCTGAGGAATGTCAGCTGTGAGCGTGCACCCCCTTCAATGCCCCTGCTGACTTCACTAAAGGCTCAGGGCTGCTGTGTGACCTGCTGTTGGTAGGTTTCGGGGGGCTTCCTGTTCCCGTCCCCCAAAGGCAAGAGCAGCAGCTCAGCTCATGAGTCCATTCCCACACCAAACAACAAGCAGTGTGTCTGTCTCAGGAACAGGGGGATCCTGACAACTGTTCCCCTGAGTGGTTCCCACAGTTCCTGTTTCTGTGATGTCCAGCAGAACCTTTCTCATTGGAGAGCAAGGTTATGGGTTGAGTGGGATCAGTGTATTAACCACAGCAATCTACAGTGGGTGTTCTTTCAGTGGGGGTACATGTGGGAATGACCCCGGTGGGGCTGTAAAGGAGGGTTGGAGGTTCCAGTGCGGGTGAGAACCGGGAAGCTGAGAGGGTTGGGTCTGTCAGACAGAGGCTCCTCCTGAGAAAGAAGTGTCTGCTGAGTGCCTGGGAAAAAAAGAGGGACTGTGGGGCTTTGGGAGGGAGCAGGGCAGAGGCAAACCCTTGGAGACAGCAATGCCATGCACTGTGGGGTCAGCTCTGTCAGACCATTGCTGAAAAGGGATTCTTTTCCCTCACAGGGGAACAGGTGTCCTCTTCTTCAGTCTCCCCCACCCAGGACACCCAAGGTCTGTTCTAGAGATAGAAGTGGGATCAGGAAGGTTATACCTACTGTCTCTTCTCATATGAGCCTCCTATCATTTTTTTTGTGGGTTTCATCCCACATTAGGCTGAGAGGTTTGTTGTAGGCTGAGATGGGCGTTCAGAATGTCCAGCTGAAAGTGCCACAGGCTGGTGCAAAGGTACAAGACTACCACCAGTGCATGAGTCAAGTTCAAAGTGTCAGGCAGAGGGGGAGAGTCACTTACCTGCCTCTGCTCTGGGGGACAGTGCAAAGCTCAGCAGGACAAGGAACAGGAGCATCTTTCCAGGAAGGCACGGTAGGTAGCAGCTGCTGGGACTCCTCTGTGATCTCTGTTGGTTGTGAGAGAGGAAAGGCATGTAACTGAGCTCGGAGGGTCCCAGTTTCTTTCTGGTTTGTGGTGCTTTATACTAGAAGATATTCTCCGAAAGAACCCCTCCCCCACCTCCTGTGCCTCTGCTAATGACATTTTCTGGTTGCTGGGTGAGAATCATGCGGTCACTATTACTGGGGTCACAGACGATGACTCAGGGCACACCATTTGTTCCAACCCAGAAAAGAAACCCAGGTAAGTCTGAGGTGGGACTGTGGCATGTGTTATTGTTTAGTGTGGCCCTCCGAACAGAACCTTCACTCTTTCATCTTTTTTATTTTTTTTCTTTTTGGGTCACACTCGGAGATGCACAGGGGTTACTCCTGGCTCTGCACTCAGGAATTACTTCTGGCGGTGCTCGGGGGACCATATGAGATGCTGGGAATCGAACCCAAGTTGACCGCATGCAAGGCAAACGCTTTAACTGCTGTGCTATCGCTCCTGCCCTTCACTCTTTCATCTTTATGCTGCCAAGTGCATCAGGCAATATCTTTGGCAGATGTGTTTAGGCTCTTGCTGGTACTGATCAAACACACAGAAGACATGTTCTTTCCCTTAACAGCTGGTAGAAGGGGCAGAAACCTCAGTAACCAGAGTGCAGGATGAAGGGCCATGGGAGGGATGCAGCTGAAATGAGAGAGAGTGACTCCAGGGACTCAAGCTAGATAGCTACTCATCATCTACCATGACTTTCTTTCTCACAAGTTCTAACAATTTTTATTAAACTAACTGTGCTGAGAGAGACAGAAATAATCTCTCAGATCAATGTTTTTTTTAAAATTTTTATTAGTGAAACATCATGAGGTACAGTTGTAGAGTTACAAATTTTTGTGCTTGGATTTCAATTATACAATGTCAGATCAATGTTTTTTAATCCAAATTCCACATTGGACTTTTATTAGAAAATTAGCAGATGAGAAAAATTTGTAAAATTAGTAAAACCACTCTGGACCTGAAGTTGCAGTCTCTGACTTTATTTATTTATTTTTGATAGCTACAGAGTTTCTTTTATTTATTTTTTGGTTATATTTATTTATTGAATCACTGTGGGAAAAGTTACAAAGCTTTCAAGACTAAGTCTCAGTCATACAATGATCAAACCTTTTTCCCTTCACCAGTACTTATTTTTCACCACCAAGAACCCCAACATAACCTCCTCCTACCCCTCCCAATGCGTGTGAGGCAGATGATTTCTACTTAACTCTCTCTCTACTTTGATTACATTCATTATTTTGACAAAAGATGCACCATTATTGTTTAAATTTCCACCCAACAATCAGAACTGCTGAAAAGGCATTGTGAAATAATTTGTTTTCTATAGCTGGTTATGAGAACCATATGATGTTGCACGGCCACGATAGTCGCGATTTTGGATTTCTGATATTTTACTAGGTAAGTCTGGAGGAATTTCTGCCAAGAGCCAGATAATTATGAGATTGGTTTCTGTGCATCTGGTGTTATGGCTGTGCGGGAAAGCTGCTCCTTGGGGGCAACTTGTGACCTCAGTAGGGTGTGAAGGATGAGTCAGTTCATACCTGGCTTTCCAATAAGCTCTGAGGCAGCAGCTACCTTGCTGCCAGGGGGTTGGGGGTGGGGGAAGGGCGGAAAGGAGCAACACCCTTTCCCTCCCGGGGAGGCATGGCACTGTAGTTTTTTTTTTTTTTTAATTTTTATTAGTGAAACACCATGAGGTACAATTGTAGATTCACAAACTTTTGTGCTTGGGTTTCAATGTTTAATGCATAGTCCATTCACTTTTCTGCTGCCGGGCTCTGGATTAAGTCCTTTTGCCTCTGGAGCCATGGCCTTGCTGGGGAGCCACTCATGGGGGGCAACTCGTGAGCTTGGTAAGGGCGTGAAGCTGCAGTCTCTGACTTTAGCTGCAGTTTTTCCTTTTTTGTTGGTTGAGCTTTGAATCATCCAATCTACCTGGACCCAGACTGGGGAGGGTGTTTCCTAAAGAAAATTTTGATTCTTTTTTCATTTTTCATTTTTATTTATTTATTTTGTTTTTTGGGTCACACACAGCAGTGCACAGGGGTTACTGCTGGCTCTACACTCAGGAATTACTCCTGGCGGTGCTGGGGAACCATATGGGATGCTGGGAATCGAACCCGGGTAGGTTGTGTGCAAGGCAAACACCCTACGCACCAGTCCCTTATTTTTATTTTTTATTGAATCACCATGAGATACACAGTTACAAGGCTGTTCATGATCAGGTTTCAGTCATACTATATTTCAATCAATACCCATGCCTCCACCAGTGAACATTTCCCACCACCAATGAACCTTGTTTCCCTCCCCCACCTCACTCAGCCTTTCTCAATAACAGGGTCTCTCTCTCCTTCTTTCTCTCTCTCTCCCCCCCCCTCCCATTTTGGGCATTATCGTTTGCAATACAGGTACTGAGAGGTTATCATGTTTGTTCCTTTACCTATTTTCAGCACTCAGTTCTTATCCAGAGCTATCATTTACTACTCTCTTTGTCATAGTGGTCCCTTCTCTATCCCAACTGCCTTCTCCCTCAGCACTTGAGGCAGGCTTCCAACTGTAGACCAACACTACTGGCCCTTGTTTCTACTGTCCTTGGGTATTAGTCTCATATTATGTTTTTTTATACCACACAATGAGTGCAATCATTCTATGTCTGTCCCTCTCTTTCTGACTCATTTCACTCAACATGAAACTCTATGTTTATCCATTTATAAGTGAGGAAATTCTGATTCTTGAATTCCTGGCCCTTATGAGGAGAGGAAGTGAGTAGTGAGTGCCACCACCACCGAGGGGTCCCCTTTTGCATCCTCTATGCTTCGTTTATTAAGTATGCCTGACTGATTAGTGCTGGTGAGTCAAGTTTCTATTATTATTATTATTATTATTTCTTTCTTTTTGGGTCATACCCGGCGATGCACAAGGGTTACTCTTGGCTCCTGCTATCAGGAAATACTCCTGGTGGTGCTCAGGGAAACATATGGGATGCTGAGAATCAAACCCGGGTCGGCCTCATGCAAGGCAATTGCCCTACCTGCTAGCCCCAAGTTTCTATCTTTAGATGTACAGTACTTTACATTATTTCTCTGTGGAAAATAAAATATCACTAAACATAATTCTAGAACAACAGCTATTATGCGTGCAATTTCCTTATGAACTATATTTCTTTGTGAACTTGTTCAGTGAGTAGGATTTGCAACTGGTTGGTGCAAAACCTCTGTTCCTCCTGAAGCCCTGGGGCCACAGAGCATCTGTGATGGTACTGGATGGAAACTTCTAAGTCCAGCCCCTCTACAGAGAGGGACCTTCCACCTCAGAGACTGAATCCAAGGGGACAGCAGGAGGCTCAGCCAAGAGACTAGCTTTATCCAGAGGGACAAGCTGAGAGGGCAGGAGTGACAGGGCCTAGTGGATCTGAACAGCTGTGAGGCCGGGTGAGTTTCCTTTGTGTCAAATGACAGGAGAGGCATAGAGGTCCCCCTGAGCCGCAGGCCAGGGTCTATGCTTCCTTATTGTGGATCAGTCTGTCCTGGAAGAGGGATAAAGGAGACAGTAGCTATTGGGTAGGAGCTGGGGGACCTCTCTGGCCTCCTAAGAATAGAACTTTGCCTGTGATTGAGACAAAGTTTTGTCACTCATGAGCCATAGTTTCATGTCATTAAAGACATTTTTATGTGTTATTTATCTTTTAAAATTTTTAATTTTATTGAATCATCATGAGATACATTTACAGACTTACCGACTTTCATGATTGCGTTTCAGTCAAACAGTGTTCAAGTACCCATCCTTCCACCAGTGCCCATTCTCCACCCTCAATGTGCCCAGTGTCCCTCCCTCCCATCTACCCAGCTTCTGCCTCTGTGACAGGCACAATCCCTCTTACTCTCTCTGTCCTTTTGGATGTTATGGTTTTCAATACAGGTAACAAGAAGCCATCATGTTTGGTCCATAGTAAGGACATTTATTGAGCAGGGACACCTCACCCGGTGATGATGGACATAGTGGAGGCATCATCAGAAGCTGTGGTTACATCTTTCTCAGAGTGTTCTTTATCCAGGGCATGAAACTGGAGATTTTGGTGTAGGCCCGGGGTGAAGACCCATCACTCTTTCCATAGGAGACGATGCCCTGGGCCACATGCTTGCACACGAGGGGACCCCCAGAGTCTCCCTGTGGAAGTGAGGGAATGACTGAGCCTGTTTGCTCCCGCTCCAGGCCCCTCTCAGTGGAAGGAGCCTTATGAGCCCTGGGAGAGCAGAGGCAGGGCAAACTGGGGCCCAACTGCTGGTGGTTGGCTCTGGTCATTTCTGGATTTCTCACCGTAGGTAGTTGTTACCTGTCCCCAGGACATAGTTTGTGGCCTGTTTGTCCTGAGAAAGGGCTGTGGGTAACACTTAGAGGGTCCATCAGACACTGGTGGAACCAGCTCTGACTGTCCTTAATGGGTGATTCGGGACACCCCAGGCTGTATCCAGAGTCTGGGGTCCTCCCTGGGAGACTCTGAATATTTACCACAAGGCTGTGGAGGCTGGCAGAGACCCAGCTTCTCCCCAGTAGGTGCCCCCTCACTGGGGAACACCTCTGAGAGTGAGAGTCCCCACTGCCTGGTTTTCTGCACCTCCCAATCAGCCTAGCCCCAAGATCAAGCTCTGCATTCTCCAGTCTCACCTTAAATGTGGCCTTTTTTATCTTGGGATCCCCCACGCACAGCTGAGTGTCGGCGCTGTAATGATTTTTAAACTTGGTTTCACACTCCTCATCTGCCTGCACCTTCAGCTCCACCTCCTGCAGCTTCTCAGGAAACCTTCCCCAGGTGGCCATCTTCCCCCAGCCAGGGGCAATGCACACCTGGCCTGGCTGCAGCTTGTTCCTGGGCCCAGGCAGTGTGAGGGGCTTCACATCCTTAGTCATCTTGGCGTTTCTCTTCAGCTATGGGAAAGTGAGAGCGGGTCCTGCTCAGCCTGTGTCCCCTGGCCTGAACCCCCCCATGGGGTGCCTTGTCTTCCTTTCCCAAAGAGGCCTGGGGACAGGGAAGAAGAATGGGAGCAGGGAGGACGCAGCTCTGAGTGGACGCAGGTGAACAGAACACCTGCCTCCTCACCTTCAGCAACATGATGTCGTTAGAGTAGTTCTTAGTATTGTAGTTGGGGTGAGGGATGGCTTTTCTCACGGGGATCACCTGCTGACTCTCCTCCTTCTCTTTGATGTTGTGGGCGCCCAGGGTCACATTGATCATGCTGCAGAGAGAACCCAGAGGGAGGTGGAAGCTCAGGGAAGAACTCAGCTGCTGAAGGACAGGTGACAGGTAGGGTGCAGGTAAGGGAAAATCTAGGGACTTTGGCGGGCTGGGAAATGAATGGGGACCATGATTCTCACAGCTGAGGAAGGTGTTAGGAGCTAAAAATTCCTGATGACCCATGGTTCCCAGTAGGGAGTGCCCTGAGGAAGATAGGTGAAGTGACATTGTCTGAAGGTCGTTTGCGCGGTCACTGTGTAGGCAAAACAGGATTCAGTTTCTGCTATAACCTGTTATAGCAGTTTCCCTGTTCCCAGGAAACTGTCCCCCTTCCCTACTTTAGGACTCTCCTGGCTCACTGTCCCTGGATCTGGGGAGTGTCTGGGCAGAAGCAGAGGTCCCCATCCAGGGTCCCCTGGGGAGTGCAGATGTGGCTGTGTGTCTCCTCACCTGCCATAACAGTGAGCGGCCGTCAGCACCACGTTCTTTCGGATCAGGAAGCCTCCACACCGGTTTGGATTATAAGATTTCTCATCAAAGTACACCAGATAGGCCATGTAGGGTCTGGAGTGGGGCTTGGCCTCGTGTCCCCCGATGATCTCCCCTGAGGAATGTCAGCTGTGAGCGTGCAACCCTCAATGCCCCTGCTGACTTCACTGAAGGCTGAGGGCTGCTGTGTGACCTGCTGTTGGGGGTTTTGGGGTGGGGGCTTCACATTCCTTTCTCCCAAAAGGGAAGAGCAGCAGCTCAGTCAATGAGTCCATTTCCACACAGAAGGCAGAGGGAGCCTGTCTCTTCGGACCTGGGGCTCCTGACAATTGTTTCCCTGAGTAGTTCCCACAGTTCCCATTTCTGTGATTTCCAGAAGGAAACTTTTTCTAGTCAGAGAGTAAGATCAGAGATTGAGTTATGTCAGCACATTAACCAGGGCAACCCACAGTTTGTGCTCTGTCAGTGGGGCTGTGAGGAGAGTTGGAGGGGCCAATGCGGGTGGGAATTGGGAAGCTGAGAGGGTTGAGTCTCTCAGACAGTGACTGAGAAGGAAGGATCTGCTGATGGCTGCAAAGTGAGAGGGACTGAGGGGCCTTGAGAGGGAGCCAGGCAGAAGTCTATCTGTGAGGACAGCAATGCCACCCACTGTGCGACCCACTGTTGGCTGTGTGACCATTGCTGAAAGGGGGTCCCTTCTACCCTCACATGGGAGCAGGTGCCCCCTGCCCCCTGCGGGTAGTTAGCATTTCCTCTTCTCCATTCTCTTCACCTCCTAGGCACCTCAAGGTTGTAATGGTGCTGAGAGGGATGTGTCCACCAACTCAGATCAGACTCCCATCATTTTTATAACTTTTTATCCACCATCAGCTCTCGGGTCTAATGTGGGCTGGAGTAAGTGTTCAGGTTCCAGTAGACACTGGATAGGAAGGTTTAGAGGGCCTGTATCTAAACCATAGTCAGCAGGTGAAGCTTAGAATCTCGCTCAGGTAGGGGGTGTCACTCACCTGCCTCTGCCCTGGGGGACAGTGCAAAGTTCAGCAGGACAAGGAGCAGGAGCATCTTCCCAAGAAGGCCCAGTAGGTAGCAGCTGCTGGGGCTCCTCCGTGGTCCCTGTTGTCTGTGAGAAGAGGAAGGGCACGTAGCTGAACTTAGTCTGAATTCTTTTCTGGTTTGTGGTGCTTCATGGCTAGAAGATTTTCTCCGAAAGCTCTCCCACCCTCTGCATCTCTGCCGATGACGTTTTCTGGTTGCTGTGTGAGAATCATGCTGTCACTATCGCTGTGGTCACAGCTGATGACTCAGGGCAGACATTTGTTCCAACCCAGAACAGAAACCCAGGTAAGTCTGAGGTGGGACTGTGGCATGTGTTATTGTTTAGTGCAGCCCCAGAACAGAACCTTCACTCTTTCATCTTTATGCTGCCAAGTGCATCAAGCAGTATCTTTGGCAGATGTGTTTAGGCTCTTGCTGGTACTGATCAAACACACTGAAGACATGTTCTTTCCCTTGATAGCTGGTAGAAGAGGCAGAAACCTCAGTAACCAGAGTGCAAGATGGAAGGACTATGGAAGAGACACAACTGACAAGGAGAGTGACCCCATGCATTCAACCCGGACAGGAACTCATGCACTGTCATGACTTCCTTTCTCACAAATTCTAACAATTGTTATAAACTGAATGTGTTGAGAGAGACAGAACTCATCATTCATGTCAATGTTCTTATCAGAATTCCAGTGTAGACTTTTTTTGAAAATTAGTAAACCACTTTGAACTTAAAGTTGTACTCTTTGTCTGCAGATGTTGTTTCTTTTCCTTTGTTGGTTGAGCTTGGTACCATCAAAGCCACATGGACCAAGATTGAAGAGGTATTTTCTGAAGGAAATTCTGATTCTTAAACTCCTGAAACTTTTGAGGTAAGGAAGTATGAGTGACACCACCATCAAGGGTTGTTCTTCTCTCATCCTCTAGAATAAGCCACATTTCTGATTCAACCATCAGCAGATCGTAGGCTCCCATTTGTTAAACCTACTATGGTGATAATGATGTGAAGGAACATTGCTTCTAACTTGTTCAGGACCATGTTATTCTAAGAGCGACTAAGTATGTCTGACTGGTTAATTCTGGTGATTCAAGTTTCCACCCTCACACTGTGTACTTTACATTATTATTTTTATGAGGACAATAAAGTAAAACTACACATCATTCTTGTACAAAATTCATATTGGGTGAAATTTATTTATCAATTATCTACCTTTTCGAACTTACTCAGTAAGCTGACATTTAAAAAAGAAAATTACCTTTCTGATTACCTTGTTGAGAAATGTTCACTCAAATTTTAGGAGAGTTGAAAGCAAAAATGTGACTCATTTGCCCTTTCTCACAGATGCTTTCCATAATAGATATGTTTTCAATTCCTGGGGTCATATTATATGGGCAATATTATTTTTTAAAATCCTTAACCCTGTCTTTAGCATTTCCCCTATGGTCTTAAAAGCATGAGTCTAGGAACTCTCCTAAAGGGAGTGCTGGAGTTAGGTTGGTAAGTTTGTGATTCAAAGAAGTGTGAGCAGGTGGGTGGTGGAATGAAAAGATGGCAGTGTTTCTTTGATAAGACCCCTAGGAATGTTTTCTAAGATGGATTTTTTTTTTGCAAGAGCCTCATCTCACCATAGTTGCTTTTTACACTTTTGTTATGCGTATATTTATAAGGTCTTTTAAGTATTATTACTGTTTATTGAAAGGGTTGCATTGGTATTTGCATCAAGCTGATTTTTGTTTTCTACAAACACACTATCTCACAGCGGGTAGGGCGTTCGCCTTACACGCGGCCAACATGGCCGACCCGAGTTCGATTCCTCCGCCCCTCTCGGAGAGCCCGGCAAGCTACCGAGAGTATTCGATATGCCAGACACAGTAACAACAAAGTCTCCAATGGAGACGTTACTGGGCCTGCTCGAGCAAATTGACGATCAATGGGAGGGCCTTTACCTTTACCTTACCTTTACAAACACACTATCATAGATCCTTGCTTCCGGTGGAAGTTAGTTGACTTGTGTGCATCATAACATACTGTGAATGTATTATTTTGTTACTAATAAACATTTTCAAAGAGAGATACTTGATATAGGAAATAATTTGTAATATATATATATAACCAATTTATCTATTTCAAAGTTAAAAAAGTGGTGACTTATCTCTAATGTATTGGAAGTTTTATTAAATAAAGTGATTAAAATAATCTTTGAAATAAAAAATCTTAGTTAATACCACTTTAGTTTGTCCCCTAGGCATCAAAATTTTATGCAAATTATTCCTAAACTATTGTGAAAGTTAAAAATAATCTAAAAAAGACAAAACAATTAAAATTATCTGATTTTAATTGCTCATTGATAATAAACCTTTGTTCCCTAAGGTATGATCTAACATGTTTTACTCTCATTAAATCTTATTGATAGAGACGAATAACCAAAGAAATTCTGAGAGAAAGAACCATAAGGATTCCCCTTCCAATTTCAAATGATATTACAGAACAGTTGTAATTAAAACATTGAAAAAACAGGTTCACACACTAATGGAATATAGTATAGTAGAGAGACCAGAAATCACCTCACACAAATAAGGGAATCTAATTTACAATAATGGAGACCAAACCATACAATGAAGAAAACCTCTTCAATAACTGTCGCTGGGAAAGCTGAACATGCAAAAGTTCAACTCAATCACTATTTAACTTTAATTACAAACATTATGTCAAATTTGATTAAACAGTTGGATGTCAGTATCAAAACCATAAAACACAAAACAGGTGATGCACACTTGGCTGTAAGCAGGAGACATGGATTTGCAAATTGAACTCCAATGACAAGGGAAATAAAAGTAATAGTGAACAAACAGAATCACATTAAAATTTTTTATGCAACAAGGAAATAGCACAGACATTAAGATGCGACCCAGCAGCTGAGAGGAGACATTTGCATTTTGTACTTCTGACAAGGGGTTTCCATCCAAAACATGTAACGAGGCCATACTTCTCAAGAATAACAAAAAACCACAAATAAGCCAATCAAAGAAAGGGCAAACGGCAGGCAGAGGACACTTGAGTGAAGACTCAGAGATGGTCCACAGATGTGCAGGCAAATGCTCACTGTCACTTTATGAACAGGGAGATGCAAATCAAACCCATACTGAGAGATCACCAAACACACCAGAGAAAAGGCTATTTCCAAAAAAAGGTGGGTGAGGATGTGGAGAAAAGGGAAGAATGGGACAATTTTGATGTGAAGGTAAGTTAACACAGGGAATAATTAAAAGATAGAAATTTAATATGATCCAGAAATACTACACCTATGCTTATGATTTTAAAGGAGTATGAAAACACTTCCTGCAAAGAAAGTGTTAGCACTGTTCACAGAGCACTATCTATGCCCAATAGCTTACATATTGGGCCTGGGTAAAGAAGCTGTAATATAGATATATAAATATATATTTATTTGTATATATACACATACATATGTTTGCACATATACATGTATTCATACATATGCATATATATATTCAATGGTCTATGAATCTGCCTTTAAATAGTGATTTTGTATTCTTTGGAACGAAACGATTGGGCTGCAGAGTCTAATGCCAAGTGAATTAAGGCTGAAAGAAGAAAACAAATACTGGTTATGTTAATCATATCTGAGAAATAAAGGGAGCAAGCAAGGGAACAGACAAAATCTATATAAACCATCCCCTGGGTTTGGTCTTTAGAACTGAGGTAGCCAGAGGGGAAGGGTATGAACTAGCGCAATGGGTGGAAGGGATCTAGTAGATAGTTCTTTTTTTTTTTTATGCTTTTTGAGTCACACCCGGCATTGCACAAGGGTTACTCCTGTCTCATGCACTCAGGAATTATTCCTGGTGGTGCTCGGAGGACCTTGGGCTTTACCTGAGGACTGTATGGGAACCCCTTAAAAGGAGGGGAATCAGGAGTCCTCACAGATAGAGCAACCTGGTGCCCTGTGTGGAGCAGGATGAATGAGTGAGCATGAAGAAATTGCCCTGTGGAGTGTCAGAGCCAGTAAAGGCAGGAGGAGGCCACATAGGCCAGAAGGTGGTACTGGCCAGACTTGCTGTTTGAGCCTCTGTGGGGGTGAATGAAATTAGGAAACTTTTTAGGCCAAGAGTCAGTATTCGTGTTGTGTAAGCATTGGGAACTCATAGTCCTGGTGGAATCTGGGCAAATTTCCTGAGCTGCTGGTACAACTCGCTTTATGAGGGCCAGGGTCCTTGTTGATGGGATTACACTGAAGCCTTTGGAGGTGATAGAGTGCAGCCATGTTGCTAACTTGACTCTGACATCTTTGTACTGTACTCACCATCCTTCCGAAGGGTTGAGACTGTTTCATACTAATATTTCAACCCATTGGCTTCACATTCACAAATAGCCTGTATCTGACAGTATAGTTGGAAAGAAAATCTGTTACAATAGCAAGTAAAATGAAAATATTTGGGGGCTGGAGCGATAGCCGTCGCCACACTCCAGGACGCTTTCCGGACCCGCGCGGCCGCAAGCGCGACACATCATAAGACACTAAATACCCGTCTTCTGGAATTGTCGTACCATATTTGATAGGGTTCAAATATGGTAACACCTACAAGGGTGATTAGAGGTCACCCCAAAAGCCTCTATACCTCTCGGAAAGACTGGCAAGCTACCGAGAGTATTCCGCCCGCACGGAAGAGCCTGGCAAGCTATCCGCTGTGTATTCGATATGCCAAAACCAGTAACTACAACTGGTCTCACTCACCTGACCCTGAAGGCTTCACCGACATGGCAGCACTGAGAAGGATGAGAAAGGAGAGGCCGACAAAATCTCAAGGCCGACCTAGGCTGCCACAACGAAGGAAGACAAAAATGATCGTCTGTACTTTCAATGCACGTACGCTAGCATCAGATGCATCCATCGAGGACCTGATGGTACAAGCGCGAATGATCAAGTACGACATCATTGGTCTGACCGAGACAAGAAGACACGAATCTCACCATGCCGTTTTCGACACTGGAGAAG